CTGGGGGGCGGCTTGCAGTCGGCGTGTGGGGGGTTTCTCAGCACCCACAGGCACGGAGGTACTGATGGGAGATGCTCTGTCTTGCCAAGGGCCCTCTGAAGCAGCCTGGCCACCAGCTGGCGGCTGCACCACTGCCAACCCCTGCTTGCTGCCTGCTCCGTGGCTGGGCTGGGTGAGGTGCCTGCAGGGCAGAGCCCCAGTGAGGGTGCTTGAGGGCACCCCTCTGGTTTGCATCTCCTCAGGGGGCACAAATGAGACCTGTGACCCCAGGAGGGTCAGTGTGCTGAGGGGGCTGCCTGCGCTGCTGATCCCGGGCTGCGGGCATGGCCAGGGGTCCTGACACTCGCAGGGGCCATAGCTACGGAGGCAGGTGCTGCCCACGCACTGGGGCAATGCTGTGGATCAACCCTGGTGTAAACACGTGCCAGCGAAGGGCAGGATTGTGCCCAGGGGCCTGGCTTTGCCTCACCTGCTCCCACAGCTCTGAGCACCCACCCATGTCCCACCAGGGACCAGGGGGGCTCCCAGGGCTGGGCTGCTCCCTGGTGCTGGCTGACGTGAGCAGCGCGGTCTTCAGACCAGAGCACTGGGGTTCAGGAGAGGGCAAACCCCAAACTCCACACTTGAGATGATTGCTTTGTTTGCTGAAGAAATAGGAAATGGAAGCAGCTCTACTCCAGCGCTTTCGCTAACCCCGACACTGCCCCTGTGCTGATTCATTGATTTGGACGGGTTATATACTGGGAGGGGAAGCATGAACCACACTCGGCTCTCTTGCCAGCACGGAGCTGTGCTCACTCGGCGCTCCCGGCTGCAGGACACTCGGGTAAGTCTCTTCTCCGCTACTGCCCCTGTAAGTGTGGGCCCGGGCCTGAGGGACTCCTGGGGCAGCTCCGAGGGTGGCAGCGTGGTGGTGGGATGTGCACGTTCAGCACCTTTTGATTTGATGGAGATGTTTGTCTTGCAAGGGTTCTCCAACAAAGCAGGACCACTTAGGCATTGTGGGAGATGAAATAGTTACACGGGCAACGTATCTTAAATAATGACCAATAAAGAAAATTAAGGGGGGGAGGCAAAGTAACATTTAGGGGGGCTTGGGGTCAGGAGCAGTGGGATGCTGAGGGGCTGAGCGGTAGGGAATATGCAGCCCTTTCTCTGTAAGCTTTTTGTCCCTAGAAGAAAAGAGGAGATAGATTGTTTTCAGCTGCTTTTCCTGAAGGGCGCTCCAGCTTGGATGTTCTCTCAGCTGCCTTACCAGGGAGTGACATGAGCAGGGCTTTTGATGTGCAGAGTGTTAGGGGAAGTTTATAAATGGCTCGCTATAAACAAAGCTGTTCTTGGATGCAGATTGTTTCCATATGGGAAACATAAACTGCGCTGGCTTGTGGAGGGTTCCTCCCTCCCCGCCGGAGAGGAGCGTGTTCCCTGGAGAGAGCTGGGGCTGGGGCTGTGCCCCAGCACCCCGGGGTCTGTGCCAGTGGGCACCATGCCCTTGTGCTGCCAGAGCTGCCTGCCTGGCTGGGCTGTGCTTGGGGCCGGGGGAGCCGTGGGTTTTCTCCCTCTCTCATGTCACTTGAAGCTGTTAGGGAGGAGGGCAGCTCCATGCCAGCCTGGCACAAGGCTGCTTTGATCTGTGGAGGTGGGGGAAGCTCTGAGGCCAGAGGAGGGAGGAGAAGGGTGTCCACGGTGCTTGTGGGGTGATGGAGGACCTCACTGTAAAGCCCTTGCTCCCCTCAGGCTCCAGGGCTTTCCTGGGACCAGCCTGCATATGAGTGCCCACACTGAACACCCTGCTCTCATGGCCAAAATTGGTGGGGGGATGAGACCTAATGCTGGGGACGGGGTGCAGACAAGCCCCCCCCAGCACCCAGCCTGGGTGGGGGAGCTGGCAGAGGACTGCGGGCTCCTGCAGGACCAGGACTGAAGCACGCCTGGGCAGTGGGTGCTGCTGCTGCTCTTGGCCCTGTGACAGGACCTCAGAGCCCTTGCTGCTCTTGGCCCTGTGACAGGACCTCAGAGCCCTTGCTGCCAGGCAGAGCTAGGAGGGTGCCGGAGTGGGACACCTTTTTTCCTGCCCCCACCCAGCATCCCCGGGACCTGCTGAGCTGTGGGTGCTGCGGATTGGCTCCAGTGAGGGCCTTGGATGTTTGGT